ATTAAAAATGTATTTCTTACTTAATATTATTTTCTACTATTTAGTGCGCATCAATAAAAGGCATGGTTTTTCGAAAAAAAATATTTGTACATGTATTGTTATGAATGTTGGCTCACAATCAGACTTGAAAACCGGAAATACATCCGCAGACATTTAAGTAAGTTTTTTTACCAAGACAAGAAAAAATCTAATTTCAATAAGAAGCATTAATAAAAATGTTTATGTTTAGCGCGTAAAATTTGAAATTTTCATTGTGGGTGTGTCTGCGTAACATTTTACGTAACCTAAAATGGGAACAGCTTTCATATTCTGTGAACATGACTTAAAATTATAAATTGCTTTTTCTTATTTATATTTTTTCAGTTCTTGTTACTAGAATTGCACTATTTCAGAGGATTTTATATAGTGTATTATAGTGCAAATCCTGTACAAAAATACTAAATGTTTAGATTTGGTCACCAACATGATCACATATATGAATATAAATATTTTTAGGTTACCTCAAAATAACTCCAAAATTGTGAATTAAAATAATTAAAATTCTAATTTAGAAGAAAAAGTAATGAGTTATTGAATTTTTCAAGCTTTGCCTTCTCTATAATACGACTTTCATTAATATTCTTCACTTAAAAATGAATGTAAACTAAAAATTGAATAATAATGAAGGAAAACTATAAATTTGTTACTAAAAAGGGCAATTTTTTTCGACGTTACTTTAGACATTTCGACACATTCTGAAAATAGTAGATGACAGTTAAGTTGAACAAAGGTCACGTGGTGTTGTTACTCATTTATAAAATTGTTAGTTTTTATCATCGGTAATTGTACGTTGTAAATTATAATTGTGTAGGTTTTTAGAGAATTAGGTTTATGTCAAAATTATCAGTGATTTGGCAAATTTGGCACAATAAGAAATTGATAGAAAATGAGCGACTTAATATCAATTCCCCTTAAGAAACCTTCAGAAGTCGATATTATTAAGCCGTTAAAAAATCTAATTCAGTCAAGGTATAGCACGGCGGATAATCCAGAAGATTATAGTGATCAAATAAACGAATTGTCTAAACTTAGAAATAACGCAATTTGGAGGGCCTTTGAAAAGTATGAAAGTTCATTAGAAATAGTGTATGGGTGAGTAATCATGCAATTCATGTTTTATTTTTCTTCTGTACACGTCATCTTATCATTGTAGTTATTATGATCAGTTGGTTGCACTTGAAAGTAAATTACCAGTACAGGAAGTGCAAATACCATTTAAATGGAAAGATGCATTTGATAAGGGCTCCATTTTTGGTTCTAGAATTAGCCTAAGTAAGCTCTTCAGAATTTAATTTGAGCCTAAATTTTATATATAATTTTGTCGATTTTAGCAATAGCTTCACTTGCTTATGAAAAAGTTTGTATATTATTCAATATAGCAGCTTTACAAAGTGCAGTTGCAGCTAATCAAGGAGTTGACAATGATAATGGACTTAAACTTGCAGCAAAACTTTTGCAGGTAATAACTATACAGAACATTCTATTGTGATTATTTTTTTTATTAAGTTGAATGGGAGCTGTAAGAATGCAATATATTTTTAGCAAGCTGCTGGTATCTTCAATCACCTGAAATCAATTGTTATTGTTGCTATCCAACAAGATCCTACACCTGATTTGAACCCTGATACTTTGGGGGCATTATCAGCATTGATGCTGGCCCAGGCACAGGAAATTTTTGTTCAAAAGGCAATTCTTGGTATAAACATATAATTTTTATATAGTAGGGTGTCTACTGTATTTAGAAAATTTAACAATTTCAGGGAATTATAAAATTTTCATGAAAAGTAGTTTTAATCAAAGCAGTGGAAATCCTATACAGTTTGATTTAACTTTTGTGATGCCTTTATCTTTATCTTTTCAATGTTTTTTGCAGATAAAATGAAAGACCAAGTTATTGCAAAATTAGCTGCATACTGTGAAGATTTGTATGCAGAATGCTTGAAACAGTTTCAAAAGGAAAACTTAAAACCCTTGTGGGACAAAGAATGGATACCAACAGTGAGTTACATTGATTTTTTTTTCTGAATAATAAATACTTAAGTAATATAAATTTAACCTGTTGTAGATAGCCGGGAAGCAAGCTGGATTTCATGCAATCGCAGAATATTACCAAAGTTTAGTATGCAAAAGTAATAAATCAATTGGAGAAGAAATAGCTAGATTAACAGTAAGAATTAAATTTTTGAACATTAATGTAGTATTTGGGATTTCATTGTTTGTTAATTTTTAGCAAGCAGTTGAACTTTTTAAAGCTGCTCAGTCACGATCTGGAAATAGTACAATGTTCCAAGATATGGCAGCTAAAGCTCAGAGAAACCTGACTGAGGCCAAGAAAGATAACGATTTCATTTATCACGAGCGCATTCCTGATATTAATTCATTAGAACCTATTGGTAGAGCACAGTTAGCCAAAGCTTTACCTCTTACGCATCCCTTGAGTCAGAATTTCAAAGGTAACAATATACTTTTATTCATTAAAACATCAAAGAAACATCATGAAAACAAAAACTCGCATGTCTTTCTAAAACTTTACAGTTTGTTAATGCTCATTTTGTATTACCATCGAAGAAGTGAGATCCTTGTTTCTATTGCAGCATGGTATCCAGAATTGATCTTCCAATGATGTTTCTTAATGATAATAAAAATGTGGCATTAACAAACCCACAAATAGAATTTAATACAGTTAGTCATCGCAATAAAGATGGAATATTGATATGCTCAAAAAAATGACATAGACTTTGCCAAGCTGTAATGTGATATTCATTTATACTAAACTTTTATTTTTACATTTCGTATGCCATTAGAATCTTATTACTAACATTTTTTATCGTTTCGGTTTTATAAGACATAGTAGTATTGTAATTTTTTTAAGATAAGTTGTAATGATCTGTTAATTTTATCTCTCATTTATAGAATGTTAATTTTTTGTTTTGACTCTTTAAATAAAATATTATCATTGATTTTATTTTTTGTTTGAAAAGTTATTGTATATGTTCAAGTTATGGAAATATTTTAAACTGAAAATTACTTTACAGACCTATTCAGTGAGCTTGTGCCAGTTTCTGTACATCAGGCTCTTGCAGCGTACGATCTTCGCAAAAATGAAGTGCAAGGGGTCGAAATATCTAAACTTAGAGATGCAACGCAGTTGTTAAACAGGTACATACTCAATATATTTTTCTTGTTTTTATTTTGTAATTTTAAAAGCTTTATTTTAGCATTTTAGCTTCACTAAATTTACCGGCAGCCATAGAGTCAACAGAGGGTAATCAGCTTCCTCCATCTATCTTAGATAAAGCGGCGGCTGTGAACCAATTGGGTGGAATTTCGTCCCTTCAAGGTTTGATTGCAGAATTGCCTGAATTATTGAAGAGAAATCAGGAAATTTTAGATGAGGTTTGAATTCTCATTTTAATTTCGTTAATTATTTAATGTGGAAATTATTAATGATGAAGAAACGAATTAGAAGAAATAATTTTAGGCCGAGCGAATGCTCAACGAAGAAAAACAGGCTGACGAATCTCTGCGTGCTCAATTCAAGGAGAAATGGACCAGAACACCTTCGGACAAATTGACTGAAATGTTTCGTTCGAATGCTGCCAAATATAGGCAAATAATCAATAATGCCATCGAAGTAAGTTCTGAAATATCCAACCACTAAGTAATTATTAATTACTCACTAATTTTCTTAGAGTAGTGTTTTAAAGATGTGATTTTTAGGCCGATAAGTCAGTTCAAGAGAAGTTCGAAAAACATAAGTTTGGCATGGAGCTGTTGAGTAAATCACCTGAGGAGTTACAGAACGCAGTGCCTAAGAGTGCTGGGGGCTGTGTTAGCAATTGTGATGCAGTAACTGTTTTACGACAACTTATGGAAGAGGTAACATTCTATTCACTGTTATTAACATTGTATTTCTCAATAATTTGTATTAAATTAAATTATGTTCAAATTTAAGGTTGAAACGTTAAAAGCAGAACGCGATGTTATCGAATCGGAACTGAAGAGTGCAACGATCGACATGAAAGACAAATTTTTAGCAGCTTTAGCAAGTGATGGGACAATAAACGAACCAGCACTTTCCTTGGAGAATATAGGACAAACATTTGGGCCCTTACAAAAACAAGTCAAAGAAAGTATTGCAAAACAGGAAGAATTGGTCGCTAAAATACAAGTAAGTTTGATAAGCTAAAAAATTGGAAAGTTAAATGTTTGAAGCTATCAGTATTTTATCGTTTTTTTCTTTATTTTTAGTCTGCTCATGCTGACTTTGCTCGTGAAAGCGGTACAGGTGCCAGCAGCAGAGAAAATATGCTCAGTCAATTGGCTGCAGCCCATGATGCTTTTAGGGAATTACAGAACAACCTGAAAGAGGGCACAAAGTTTTATAATGATTTGACTCAGGTAAGAACAGCTTTTTGTTTGGTTTGACCACGTACTATTATATTTATTAGAAACTGACAAATGTGATGACGAACCTCGCTTAAAAATATATAGTGTTTGCTTTTAAATTCAGTTAATAATTTTTTTGTATTGTGTAGATGTCATTTATTTTAATTTTTTAATTTATTTTCAGCTCTTGGTTGTATTCCAAAACAAAATATCTGATTATTGTTTTGCACGTAAAACTGAAAAAGAGGAACTATTGAAAGATTTAACCCAAGAGTCCAGTAGATCTGCTCCACCTCCTACTCCAAGTACACCATCTTACTACGGTAGTATGGGTTTATTTTTAAATCTTAATAAATTTTTGTAATAAAAATAAATTGCATACTTATTTTTAGTATTAATACAATAAGAAAGTATTTATTGTTTTATGCAGGTGCGAAGCAAGATGAGGCATCTGCTAGTGGAGCTCCTCAAGCACCACCACCTTCTCAAGTACCGACGACATTACCGTATCCTGTTTACGTTACTGGAATGCCTGTCCCCTATGGTGCTTCTGTAAACACTCCATATCCGTCGTACGCTCCGCCTCCGTTACCATCTGGCTATAACCCATACTCTACGCTTCCCTATCCTGGTAAGTGCATTTAAATTTTATAGTGCATATTTTTTTTGGGGTTACACCATGTAGGGATCTTGGTAGTTTCCCTTAGCGAAACAAAACTAACCATTTATATTATGTATGTAATTTATTTAAAGAAAAAAGAATGCATATTTATGTATCTGAACTGAGAATTTATTTACCCTTTGGATGGTTAATAATAATTAAAATTTGTTGTAGCATCTTCATACTATTCAGGATTTCCTCAAGGGCCCCAAAACTATCAAGGACCGTCCAATTATCCACCCCAACAGCCTCCACCAACCAACTATCAAAAACCTCCTGGCTGGTAAGGAAGGTGATGTTATTTCCATGATATTCCTATTTTGTCTAATCCCCCCTATAGTCTCATTTTTTACGTTGTAATCACGTATTTATTAATTTATCTTTAACATTATAATTTTAATCGCAATATACCTGTACACCTTATACACTAACATAGCGTGTCAGATTAAGTCAGGCCTTAAATAGATGGTTCTAGTGTTGTAATTTTTTAATAAATATGTAATTGTTATTGTTAGGAATATTTTGTTATCCATAATCTATTGTGCTGATAATTGTAATTTTAGTGCCTGTATATTATATATTTTTTCTTCATAAAAATGAGTTTACAAAGTAATTGTTTAATTTATCCTTTCACATATTTACGATTAAAATGTCTATTTGAATATTATGAAATGAATCAAAATACGTAGAAACGTTTGTAATAATTTTTATTATAGCGCAATGTTTTAGATTAAAGTAACTGTCCTGCTTTTGTAGCATCAAATAACTGGATACATATTTAACTTATTGTGAGTCTAGGTTTCATGAAAATTTTAAATAATTGAATAAATAAATGAATGAAAACATTTTATCTTTTCACAAATATACGTTTCAAAATTACTGTTATATGTTTCAGTTGTTAAACCATTTTCAAAAATTCTAAACTAAGTGATATTTATTCTTGCAATCTATTTATACGTTGGGAAATATCAATTTCAAAGATTTATTTACAATAGGCAACCTTTAAAATGGCTATTTATCAATTTACAAATGTATTTCAAGAATAAATGTAAAAAAACATTACTTGTGAAAGAAAATCAAGTGCTTTTATTTGTTTGTTTATTCAATTATTTAAATGTGTCACCTACTAGTGCCCAGCAAAATTTCAATCACTATATTGGGGTTGAGGGTTTTTTGTATCCAAATTTAAAGTTATTGCTACCTTCTGTTTCATTTCAAATTAATAACAGATTAATTTTTACGAGACTAGTCCATTTAATCCATACTTTTAAAAATTGGGAACTGATTTTGTATTTTATAAGCATTCGCGCCTAATATTTATGAAATAACGGCTACAGAGATATGTACTATTATTGAGTTTCGTGTTCAGCTCATGCGATGACAGATGGCGCTTAATGTATTAAATGAATGCTTAAAATGACGAAGCTTTTACTATTCTGTCACAGATAGCGCCATAAGTATCACAAATTAATTTTAATTATTTTGCAAGCAAATAAGGAAAGAGCAAAAATAATATATTTCATTCTTAAATTGATTTCGTATTTTAATTTATTACTTAAACTACTTTAAGGTTTATTTAATGCATGCTGTAATTTCAAAACGATTTTGTAAATGTTTTTTTAGTTTTAATTGTTTGTGTTTATATTTTATATTAAGTTTGATTTTTAGAATTCAGTTTTTATTTTATTACTTTTTTGCTAGGTAGTGAAATCAAAATACGTCTGATATATATATAT